GTAAGGTTGTCCACTTGGTTAGTTGTGAGAGGTTTGTAGGTATCTGGGTCATTAAGTAGATTGAGCATTTTGTTCCTGTAATCGTCAGTGTTCATACCCCGACGTTACATCAATGCACTCAAAGGTTTAGCAGAAGACACGACCATCAGGGTCACCACCGCTGATAAAGGAGGTGGTGTTGTCATCATGAACACTGACGATTACAGGAACAAAATGCTCAATCTACTTAATGACCCAGATACCTACAAACCTCTCACAACTAACCAAGTGGACAACCTTACTAAAACTTTTCTTCAAAGGACTCGCCGCATTCTGAGGAGCTCAGAACAAGGGAAGAAAAATTCTGCACACCATGCCCAGCAACCCCCGACCTGCCAGAATGTACGGCCTGCCAAAGACTCACAAGCCTGGTATCCCACTGAGGCCCATATCCTCGGGAATAGGCAGTGCTCCCCACAAGCTCTCAGGAATTCTCGCCAAACACCTCTCGAAACTCTTGGGCACTATCAGTCCAGCACATCTCAAACACTCAGGTGATCTTCTCAATCGCATTCGCAACATCAACATCAGGAACAAGAAACTTTCCAGCCTTGACGTGACTTCCCTATTCACTAAAGTACCTACTAAACAAGCCATCGATCTCTTGCGCAAGAAAATTGACGATTCACTTGATCTTCCCATTCCAGCCAGCGACTTCATCGACCTGGTTGAACTATGTGTTGGCTTTACGTGTTTCTCTTTTGAAAATCACCTCTTTCAGCAGACTTTTGGACTACCCATGGGTTCGCCACTCAGTGCAGTCCTAGCGAACCTATACATGGAACATCTAGAAGCCGAACGTTTCTCCACCATTATTCCTTCGTCTGTCACCTGGCTCCGTTATGTTGACGACATTCTCCTCATAACTCCTAAACGCTTCAACGTTCAAGCTCTCCAAGACAAGCTCAACCAGGTCGAGCCTTCAATCCAGTTCACACTTGAAGAAGAGGTCGACAACACTCTTCCTTTCCTTGATGTTCTACTCTGCAAAGCTGACCACGAACTTCGTTTTAAAGTCTATCGAAAACCACCAACCAAAACGATTTTTCTCCACTTCTACTCTCACCACGACACCAAAACCAAACGTGGTGTAATTATAGGCTTCTTCCTGCGTGCACTCAGAATCTGCAGCAACGAGTTCCTTGAGGAAGAATGCACTATAATTGAACAGGTATTTTCCAAACTCCACTATCCTCGTCACTTCATCAGAGACTGCAGACGACGAGCATTAAACATCTTCAACACACCCAGAGAAGACACTGCCGAGAAGAGATACATAGTCCTTCCCACCAACTCCATTGCCAAACATGTTTCCAACATCTTTGCCAAAACATCATTCCAAGTATTACCTCCACAACCACGACCATCAAGGACATCACCAGTAGTAGGCAGGACAAGCCTCAATCCTCTGCAGGGGTATACATAATCCCTTGTAATGACTGCAACAAGTTATACGTGGGCGAAACATCAAGGGACCTCCAAACACGTATTTCAGAACACCAATACGCAAGCAGGTCTGACGACACAAGGAATGCATGCGTACAACACCGTAATTCACACAACCACTTGATAAACTACAGAAACTCAAGACTTATCGCCACAGAAGACAACACCCAATACCGAAGAATCCTGGAATCATCACTTATTTCTGTATCCGACAACTTCAACCAGAATAGTGGCTTCTATAACATAGCTGAACCACTTGCCAAGAAACTTCTTCATCGCTATCCCACATAAGAACACTGTAGAAGGTCTGCTCACAAACTTGTCCAGTCTCCTTTCCAAGCTACCCAAGTTTTTAGACTCTACAACCCAACTCGGTACATCATCAGATGCAGCATTCTTCACCTGACCTCAGCCGGACTATAAATACTCGCGTTCCTTCCACCCCAGGTAGTTCTGTTTGTGACTTGAAAAAGCCCACTGTGTGGGCGAAACGTAGTCAATAAAGGATCACATTATACTGCATTTGTGTTTATATTGAAGCCAGGCTTATTGGGCGGTAATTTGACGGTACTGACTTATCCCCTGATTTAAAAATAAGAATTACATTAGCCATCTTCCACATATCAGACACTACACCTGTTTGAAGAGATAAATTAAAAATATTAGTTAATGGTTCACAGAGTTCCATTTTGCATTCCTTAAGAACCCTTGAAAAAACCTCATCAGGCCCCGGCGACTTATTTTGCTTCAGTCGATCTATTTGTTTCATAACCATTTCACTAGTGACTGTGATGTTACACAATTTATCTTCTTCAGGCCCACTATAAAAATTAATTACTGGAATATTATTAGTGTCTTCCTGTGTAAAAACGGAGAGAAAATAATTATTTAAAATTGAGCACATTTCATTCTCTTTGTCAGTAAGATGCTCATAGTTATTTTTAAGGGGACCTATCTTATCTCTAACTTTTGTTCTATACACCTGGAAAAAACTTTTTGGGTTAGTTTTCGAATCCCTGGCAACTTTAATTTCATAGTCCCGTTTAGCTTTTCTTATCCCCTTTTTAATGTCCCTCTTAATGTCAATATACTGATTCATAAGATGACTCACCTCTTTTGATACGCCTATAAATTCCTTTCTTATGCCCTGAAAGATATTTGAGCCTATTATTCATCCATTTTGGATAATTTCTGTTTGATCTAATTTCTTTATACGGGATAAATGTTCTTTGGGAAGCATGTATAGTGTTCAGAAAACTGTCATATTGATAGCTCTCTTCGTTACCCCAGTCAACAGATAAGTGTTCTCTAGGCCCATCGTAATCTTCTAAGCGAAAATCTGGAACTGTTACCGAGTTATCCCTACTATCATACTTCCATTCAGTGCTAAATGTAATTGATTTGTGGTCGCTAGCACCAAGTTCCTCTGAAATTTCTAAATTATTAACAAGGGATTCATAGTTTTCCAGAACTAAGTCAAGCAGGTTATTTCCCCTTGTAGGCTCTGTCACAAACTGCTTCAAAAAACAATCCTGAACTACTTCTAAGAAGTAGTTTGATTCTAAATTCCCAGTCAAGAAATTCCAATTAATATGACTAAAGTTAAAGTCTCCTAGAATTACTACATTATCGTGCCTTGTGGCCTTAACAATTTCCTCCCATAGTAGTCTCCCTTGGTCCCTATCTAAGTTTGGGGGACGGTATATTACACCTAAAATCAATTTTGCATGTCCCTCTGAAAATTCTATGCAAACAGACTCAGTATGGTTTCAGACTTTATACCTGTTTTTATGCAACAGTTCAAGCGATCTCGGACATACAGTGCCACCCCACCCCCCTTCCCGATACTTCTGTCTGCTTGGAACCATTTAAAACCCTGTATGTGACATTCAGCAGGCATATCCCGATTTTTCGTATTGAACCAAGTCTCAGTTAAGGCAAATACATCAATGTTACCTGCACTAGGTTCCTAGTGTTGTTTGATATTATACTCAAGGGGAAGCCCTCAATATATGGGTTATGTTTACAGCGCCTGAGGAATGGTAGGTAACCAGATAAGAGATAATGAAGGTAGCTTGTATTTCTTGGACCGACGGCCCGTCGCCAGCATCAAGGGACCCCCATCCCTTGAAGAGTCACAGTGTTGACCCAGCCTCATTATTAAACACAGTCCGTATCCAGCCATACTTTTATTTAGCTATATAGAAAAATGTTCGGAGTAATGTGGTTCTAGACCATATTTGAGCCAGCCGGGCTGTGGCTCGTACGTTGGATTGCGTGCAGCCAGCAGTAACAGCCTGGTTGATCAGGCTCTGATCCACCAGGCGGCCTGGTCACAGACCGGGCCGCGGGGGCGTTAACCCCCGGAACTCTCTCCAGGTAAACTCCAGGTAAGAAGATATCTACTTCTATTTAACATCTAATACATTAACAGTGTGATACCTTACTCTGATATTTACGTACTGAGAGCAAAACCAAGTAGTGGTTTTCCTGTCATATTCAGCCACATTATTATTATTATTATTATATTATTATTATAATCAAAAAGAAGCACTAAGTCACAAGGGCTATACAGCATATATTCAGACACAATGAATGGGTTTCTTGCGTCCGTTGATGGACTCTGCAATTGCCATTCTTCAACAATCTAAACCATTCTCGCTCTTATATCTGTTCAGGCAATCTCGGCTCCAGTAATTTATATTTTTATTTGGTTCAGTGTGCTCTCCCTCGACGCAAGTCTTATTTACCCCGAGCTCGAGTTAATCCCAAAAGTGCTAGCTTATCACTTTCCATGTGTAACCTCACCCTCCTCTGACACGCTTGTGCCAGATACTAAATACACAGCCTTTCAAATCATTCTTAATGTGAGCCCTATCTACCTCTTGTGTCATCAGTACATGCCTGTCGTTCGCACACAAGGCTGTTGCATGTACACACGTCAGTCGTTTGTATACACACGTGTACGCACGTACATGTGTATGTGGGGGGATGCATTTAACACTTGATGTACCATCTTCCACCCGTCACTTTCATTCTCACCCTTGACACGCTGCGTCACTCTCGACGAAGATCATGCCCGACAAGAATGTTTGATGGACAAGTTGGTAATCCAAGTCCCTGACTAGAGCTGTTTGTGATGGCAGGAACAGCGTGATAGCCGAGGAATTCAGTGGCTTGGAAGTGGGTTATCAGTGGGGTGGAAATGTGGTGGAAAGGGATAGTATTATGGCTGTAGCAATAGGACAGTATAGTGGCAGAGTGACATCAGAGTGGCGGAAATGCGATAGTAGTGTGGCGGAAGTGTTGTGGCAGTATATTAGTTATGATATTATGTTGTTGGTGACAGTGTGGTGTCAGGTCAGTAACCTCCACCCTCCCCACCCCCACCACGACCACAGGCTAGCAACAGTTACAATGTCTCTCAACTAAGAAAAAAAAGTGTTATGCACAGTATTTGCAAATATGCCAAGTTTTCAATACAAAGTAAGTTAATGATAAACAGAGAACGCTACCTCTGAAAACCAGCGGCCACAGTGGATTAAGCACCAGTTGACGGAGAGTCTAATTGGGTGAAATTATTGTCAGACGTAGTGAAAATATTTCCCAATCTGCCCCGCTCCCGCCTCCCCCGGGCAAGTCAGAAAGCCAACACACACCTAACAGTCACAAGACGATCTAGGGCTTTATACCACCACTAGATGGCTCTGGTTACCGTGCATACAGCTGACGAAGATGAATACAGGAAAGTGGTTGGTTTTTGCCACACTGATTAAATATATATCGTCTCGGAGCTACAACAGCGGGTAATAAGACCTTCCACAGACACGCCCCACCGTTCTCGCCGTGCTATAAGCTGGGCAATATTTGCCTTGCAACAGTATAGCGCTCTTAAACGCGGCCTGATTAAGTCATGCTCCTGAATACACAGCAGGGACCTTGCCCAGCGCCTCGTGTGTTCTAGATAAGTGAGATGTGATGGGTGTATCTCAGTCCTGCCTGACTTACCACATGCACACTAAGCATGTTTAGTTTTCATTAACTTAACCACAACCGCCGCCAACATAGTTTTCGAGTATTCAGATTCTTGACAATGAAGCGAAAAAAAAATCCAGTCAGAAGAAACTGCTGGTTTTGGGTCGCTTTCAAACAATGTTAGATGCAAATTCTTCGATAATGTAGATTTACTGTCTGGCGTGCCTTATATAGTATATAATACTAATATCAATGAGATAAGGAAGTCATGCTAATCATGGTGTAAAGAGATGCTAACAGGCACACAAATCTGGTCATCACCAGCTGCTTGCCAATATGGTAAGTGGAAGAGATGGACCTGGAGCCTGAAGCACCAGGGTAAGTGTTTTGTGGGAGTCGAGACACCAGGTTTCTCGTCTATCAAATGTTGGAATAATTAAGAAAGTGTTAGAAGAATTAAGAAAGTGTTAGCAGAATTAAGACAATGTTAGAAGAATTACGAAAGTGTTAAGCAGAATTAAGACAGTGTTAGAAGAATTAAGACAGTGTTAGAAGAATTAACACAGTGTTAGAAGAATTAAGAAAGTGTTAGCAAATATGGAAACTAATGGTCTTGTTTCATGGGATATCATTGGATATCTTGTGATCACCCATATGTAGCGACAAGAGCAGAGCTATGATCGTAATGATCTATAATTGTAGCACTAACGGTCTCTTCTAGTATCCCCTCCCTCTCTAAAAAAGACAATCTATTACCAGCGCTTTTCATAGTTTACAGTTACTGTCTGTTGCTCTTTTTGATGATGTTGCTAAGAGATATTATCCTGTACATCCCTGAATGACCGTATATTTGGTTATCGTGTCTCCTCTTGTTTTTCCTTATTAGTCAAGTATAAGCTTTTAAGTATTTTGAGTGTGAAAGCGTTGAGAATTTCCGTATTGAGAAAGCCAACTTTTGTTTCCACTTATGTGCACTTGTGAACTATTTTTCGTCACACTATGACAAAGTTAAACGCTCGGGGTTCACTTCCATGTCCTTGAGAGTTCTCTTTACCTGGAGTTTACCTGGAGAGGGTTTCGGGGGTCAGAGTTTCGTAAATGCTAAAATCATGATAAATACGAAGTTTTCTTAATTCTATAGTGATAAGAACTTATTGATTTTTTTTTTAATCGTAAGAAATTTGTCAAATCTACAGTGTCACCATTCCATTTTTTTTCAAGGTGGCTGGAACATCCAACCTGTTGCTGAGATTTACTCTAACAACACTCTTCTTCTCACTTAGTTGAGGCGCATAAACTGTGAGAGTGGTAATTCATCACATTTGCTCGTGGCAACCACAACTATGAGGGTCTCACTCGGAATTTCCTTCATGAAGTGTAATTGTGTTTTGTGACAGTGACGAAGTGTTAGTGGGGGGAGGGAAGTGGGAAGTGTTCCAGGCAGAACTGTCTCGCCTCACACACAATCTCTACCTTTCTCTCTTGTGCCTTCCCTCTCCTCCTGCCACCTTTTCCTCTTTTTCCTGCTAGTCCCCTCCTCCTTTCCCATTCCTTCAATTTTGTGTCTGTTTGTGTCTGTCTCTGTCCGTCTATCTGTCCTTCTCTCTCTTCTTTCCGGCAACATTTTTAGGATTTTTTTTCTAAATCGAAGTTTGGACGACTATCGTAATTTGAGTTTCACGGAAATCTATATAGAAAAATAATTTTATAAATATATGCATCTGGATTTATATATACATGTATCATTATTTATACATTAATGGGAAGCGCTAAACCTGTTGTGATCATTCAGCTCTTGGTAAATGGAATTGTAGCTCCAATTCCCAAAATCAAGAGCCCTTTAATAGCATTAAAGCGCCACTTGAATTAAAGTACTGTTATGTCTAATGGAAGTACAATAGACTACATCCCTTCATGGGATGGGGATACGTCCTTGATGCCGGATCAGATCCGTATGACCCCTACGGGCTTATAATAATGATAATATTAGTAATAATAATAATTATTATACGCTTATAATAATAATAATAATATATTATTATTATTATTAATAAAAATAATTTATTCAGTAAAGTTTCCAGCACTTTTCTGCAGTGGTCTAGCATTAATAGTTTAATCTGGTAGCTGCCTAATCCCATCCTTCATCTGGTGTGTAATTGTGTGTTTGTTTTAATCTTGTGAGTGACTTACGAGTGTTTGTGGTGTTTGACGGTCACGGTGGCGGCAGCTTCTGTGGCTCGGCACACATATTTGAGGCTGTATTTTAATTATGTTTCTTGTATTGTTTACTGTCACATTCATTCAGAGTATCTTAAAACACGAGATACTTCTTTCCATAATTTTCATTACATTTGCTGGGGTTTAATTTCAGTAAACTAGTCTTGAAGTTTGCCCGACTCTATTGTTTGACCCTATCCTCAATGATTTTATTTTATTCTCATTAGTTTTGCATCGCCTCTTAACAGGGATACTTCTTATTCTCTTCTGCTATGTTTTTCACACATGCTAGAAACAGTGTTATTCACCAGTTAGTTGCTGTTTGTAGCGGCCGAGTCTCGGGTTCTGGTTTGGCCTCTCCTTTGGCCGCTCCTGGGAACGTTACCCTCTTCTAGGCTGCGTGAATCCTGGAGAGCGAAAAGTTGCCACAGCAAAATGTCACTTTTTCCTAACATATTGTCGGTAATTCTACTACTTTTCGAATCTATGTATAGATCCTGTCTCTACCACCTCGCTGTTCAAGTCGTTCCACTTCCTGACAACTCTGAAGCTAAGGAAAATATAGCCTAACATTATTATTATCATTCGTAGGGTTCTCATAGTGCCACGATTAGTGAATACATTCTCACCTCTGCTTTATTTAGTGTCCTTACTTGAGGCTGTTTCATTATTGTCTTCCATGCATTGACGGTACTGTCTTGATAAGGGAATTGTTCTCTTCATATTGGCTAATTTACCTTGTTTATTTTTTTTCATCTTAATCGTCTTTTCCATTTATGTTCATTGTTGTGTTCACTTCTTATTGCACTTTCACCCCCTCCTCTGTGTGCTTTTTTTTTTTCTCTCTCTCTCTCTCTCTCTCTTGCAAACACTCCTGTTTTTGTCCTTAAACTCATTCTCTCGCTTCTTTCTCTGTTTCCCTCTCTTGCTTCCTCTCCTTTTTGCTCGTTCTCTCTCCCTCTCTCTCTACCGCGTTCTCTCACATTTTCTTTACTCATTCAATAACTCTGCTAAGTGAAGCCACTTAGATGACCATTTCTCTCAGCCCCACTAATTTAATATCTTTTTTTTCCTCGCACTGTCTCTCAACACCCACTTCTAAAAATAACCGCCACTCTGGCGTCCACTCCATTCTCAATTTCCCATACTGTTTCTTAGTCTTATCTTAATCATCATTTCATTATTGTCTTTTGTTTTAATGTTAATATTTCTGTTGTTGTAGTAGTCACGCTATTTTCTCTCTCTCTTCCCACCTCTTCATTTAATTTCTTCTTTCATTTCCTCTTATTGTCAAGTTTTACCTACGGCTCTTCAGATGATGCTCAGGTCGTTGCCTCCTCCAACACTTCTGTTTAAGGTCTTCATTCCCCTCCCTCCCTCTCATCACTCTCATCCCATCCACCACACTCAACGAAGATGTATCTCATGTCAGCTCCGGCGGCGGAAAACTCCAAAGATGTGTCTCATGTCAGTGTTGATCGAAGCAAATAAGGACATGCGTATCAGTGGTCTAGCTAATTTTAAAACAGTTGACGACCGTGAAGGAGTTCCTGCATTATGATGCCTAGCGACTAGTGATGCAGCCTGGTAACTAGTGATGCAGCCTAGCGACTAGTGATGCATCCTAGCGACTAGTGATGCAGCCTGGTAACTAGTGATGCAGCCTAGCGACTAGTGATGCAGCCTAGCGACTAGTGATGCAGCCTGGTAACTAGTGTTGCAGCCTGGTAACTAGTGATGCAGCCTGGTAACTAGTGATGCAGCCTAGCGACTAGTGATGCAGCCTGGTAACTAGTGATGTAGCCTGGTAACTAGTGATGCAGCCAAGCGACTAGTGATGCAGCCTAGCGACTAGTGATGCAGCCTAGCGACTAGTGATGCAGCCTAGCGACTAGTGATGCAGCCTGGTAACTAGTGATGCAGGATAGCGACTAGTGATGCAGCCTGGTAACTAGTGATGCAGCCAAATGACCAGTGGTGCAGTTTAGCTACTAATGATGCAGCCTGGTGACTAGTGATGCAGCCTGGTAACTAGTGATGCTGCCTGGTAACTAGTGATGCAGCCTGATAACTAGTGATGCAGCCTAGTAACTAGTGATGTAGCCTGGTAACTAGTGATGCAGCCTGGTAACTACTGATGCAACCTAGTAACTAGTGATGCAGTCTAGTAACTAGTGATGCTGCTTGGTAACTAGTGATGCAGCCTGGTAATTAGTGATGCAGCCTGGTAACCAGTGATGCAGCCTGGTAACTAGTGATGCTGCCTGGTAACTAGTGATGCAGCCTAACGACTAATGGTGCAGCCTAACAACTAGACTGCTACTTTCTCTACGTTTTACTCCTGTCAGCCCAACAAGCCCTCCATACATATTCACCACAAACTTGCACTAAGGAGAGGATCCCTGTGACGATGTTTCGGTCCACACTGGAGCATCAAGTCGCGAAACGTGTCATAAGGCTCCT